TGATCTGCCAGTGACCATCCCATGTGGGGCCAGTTCATGTTTTCCGAGAGAGCACTTTGAACAGTTGATGAAGCCAAAGGCAATACCTTAGGTCAGGAAATCCAGTCTATAGGTATATAACAAAACCTCAAAGATAATCAACAAGACTAGAATCCCACATCTACAAAGGTGTAACGTAATTTTTTCCACAATTACCCTCAGTTTTTACCAAAGATAATCATACCTTGAAAAACTTTGGGTTACTTTCTAGTACATTTAGAAATAATTTATGTTATCACTTACCTTAAGCCAATTAACAAGAGATCTTTCAGAATTTGTACCATCCAGAGGTAGAAAAATATCACATATATATAACATACACATATAGACACACATAGATACAGAGGCAGATACAAGAAGAGACTTTAAATAGTTTTCATTGAATTTTTGCTCTGAATAAGGTACACTACAACACTCACTAATTAATAAAAGGTTAGATCAAAGCTGTATGTCTGGCAGTATTAAACAGCTCCTAACTCATTCTATGAGGCCAACATTACCCCAACCAAAACCAGACAAGGCCAACACAAAAAAAGAAAATTACAGGTCATTATCACCGATAAAAATAGATGCAAAAAGTCCTCAACAAAATATTAGTAAATCAATACAATACATTAAAATGATCATACACCATGATGAAGTGGGATTTATTCCAGGGATGCAAGCATGGTTCAACAAATCAAACAATGTGATACACCACATTAACAAAATGAGGAATAAAAATCATATGATCATCTCAATGGAAGCAGAGAAGCATTTGACAATATCCAACATCCATTTATGATAAACAACTCACACTAAAATGGATATAGAATGAAAGTAACTCAACATAATGAAGATCAATATGACAAACCCACATCGAACATCATACTCAACAGAGAAAAACTGAAAGCTCTTCTTCTGAAGACAGGAACAAGACAAGGATGCCCACTTTCACCACACTTGTTCAACATAATACTGCAAGTTTTAGCCAGAGCAAATAAGAAAAACATAAAGAAATAAAAGGGATCCAAATTGGAAAGGAGGAAGTAAAATTCTCTCTGTTTGGAGATGACAGGTTTCTATGTAGAGAAAGCCCTAAAGAATGCATGAGAAAACTTTTAGATATAATCAACAACTACAACGAAGTTTCAGGGTACAAAATTAACCTACCAAAATCTGTTGCATTTCTATAGACTAATAATGAAATAGCAGAAAGAGAAGTCGAGATTACGATCTCATTTACAATCAAAATAAAAAGAATAAAATTTCTAGGAATAAATTCCACCAAAAGAGTGAAAGACCTTTACACTGAAGACTAAAAGATATTATTGAAAGAAATCAAAGAATACTTAAAGAAATGAAAAGATATTCCAGGCTCATGGGTCAGAGGAACAAACATAGTGAAAATGTCCATATTTCCTAGAGCAATCTATGCATTGAATGCAATCCCAATTGGAAGCCCAATGACATTCTCCGTGGAAATAGGTCAAAGATTCATAAAATTTATATGGAACAACAAAAGACCCCAATTAGACAAAGCTATTCTGAGAAAAAGGAACAAAGCTGGAGGAATTACAATCCCTGACTTCAAAATATACTACAAAGCTATAGTAATCAAAACAGTGTGGTAGTGGCACAGAAACAAACACACAGAACAATGGAACAGAATTGAGAGCCCAGAAACAAAACCACACATCTACGGACTTCTAATCTTTGACAAAGGAGCCAAGACCATGCAACGGAGAAAAGAAAGTATCTTCAATAAATGGTGTTGGGAAAACTGGACAACCACATGCAAAAGAATAAAAGTACTCCATTATCTTACACCATACACAAAAATTAACTAAAAATGGATTAAAAACTTAAATGTAAGACCTGAAACCATAAAACTCCTAGAAGAATATATAAGCAGTACACTCTTTGACATCATTCTTAGCAGTATCTTTTTGAATACCATGTCTCCTCAGGCAAGGAAAACAAAAGAAAAAATAAACAAATGGTACTACATCAGAATAAAAAGCTTCTGCAGGCAAAGGAAACTATGAACTAAAGGAAAAGACAACCCACAAACTTGGAGAAAATATTTGCAAATCATATATCCAACAGGGGGTTAATTTCCAAAATATACGAAGCACTCATACAACTCAACAACAAAAACACAAACAACTCATCACAAATGGGGGGCCAGCCCAGTAGTGCACCGGTTAAGTTCGCACATTCCACTTTGATGACCCAGGGTTCACTGGTTCACATCCTGGGTGTGGACATGGCAGTGCTTGGCAAGCCATGCTGTGGCAGGCATCTCACATATAAAGTAGAGGAACATGGGCACGGATGTTAGCTCTGGGCCAGTCTTTCTCAGAAAAAAGAGGAGGACTGGCAGCAGATGTTAGCTCAGGGCTAATTGTCCTCAAAAAAAAAAAAAAAAAAAGAATGGACAGAAAATATGAACAGACATTTTTGCAAAGAGCATATGGCCAACATGATAAGATGTTCAATGTCACTAATTATTAGGGAAATGCAAATCAAAAGTACAGTGAGATATCACCTCACACTAGTCTAATTAGCAAGATAAAAATAACAAATGTTGGAAAGGATCTGAAGAAAAGGGAACCCTCATTCATGCTGGTATGAATGTAAACTGGTAAAGCCACTATGGAAATCACATGAAGATTTCTCAGAAAATTAAAAGTAGAAATACCACACGGTCCAGCTATCCCACTACTGGATATTTACCCAAAGCACTTGAAATGAATAATTCAAAGAGACTTATGCACCCCTATGTTCATTGCAGCATTATTCACAATAACCCAGACGTCGAAGTACCCCAAATGCCCAACCACTGATGTATGGATAAAGAAGATGTGGTATATCTACACAATGGAATATTACTCAGTCATAAAAAAGACAAAATTGCCCCATTTGAAACAATATGGAAGAATCTTGAGGGTATTATTTTAAGTGAAATAAGCCAGACAAAGGCAATGTATGATTTCAGTCATATGTGGAAGACAGATAAACACATGGATAAAGAGAACATATCAGTGGTTGCTGGAGGAGAAGGGGGTGGGGGATTGGCAAAAGGGGTAAAGGGAGCAGATATATGGTAATGGATGAAAACTAGAATTTTGGTGGCGAGCACAAAGCAATCTATACATAAAGTGGTAAATAATAATGCACACCTGAAATTACTCAATGTTATAAACCATTATGACCTCAATAAAATAATAGAAATAGAAATAAAAATACAAATGTTCACATCCATTAAAAAAAGACTTCCTGCTTTTGTTAGGTGTCATTAAATCTCAGAGATATCACAAGGCCATCAATGTTTAAAAAGCATCTCCAAGGCTCCTCCAAAGATAAACAGAACTACCATATAACCCAACAAGTTTACTCAAAGGTAGATACCTAAGAGAATTGGAACAGGAACAAATGAATGGGTAAAGAAAATGTGTGATACATAGATAGATGAATGTAAACATATGGATGTATATTATTCAGCCATAAAAAGGAATGAAGTTCTGATACAGGTTACAACATGAATGAACCTTCAAACATGCTAAGTGAAATACATGAGACACAAAACGACAATATTGTGTGATTACCCTTCTATAAACTATCTAGAATAGGCAAATTTGTAGAGACAAACATATTAGTGGTGACCAGGGCTGTGGGAGGGGGAGATATTGCATAATGGGTACAGAGTTTCTGTTTGAGATGATGAAAGTGTTTTGGAAATAGATAGTGGTGAAGGTTGCTCATCACTGTGAAAGCACTAACTGCCACTGAATTGTACACTTAAATATCATTCACATTGTAAATTTCCGGTTATGTATATTTTACTGCATTTTTAAAAAAAAAATATTTCTGAAATATGTTGGGAGGACAAGAAGTCCTAACAGAAGAAGATAATATGAAGGATTCAAAGCCAAAATGTATTCCTCACCTCTCATTTTTCAAATGTGGGCTTTACCAAACAGCCTGGGAACTTGTCTTTGTTTCTACTGAAACACATCGTCTGTGGCACTGAGCTAACAGGACAGCCTAGTGGCTTCAGGGTGTGGAGAAAATGGGTGCCCGTGAGAGCCAGGTGTCCTTAACAGGAAGGGGCCCTTGTTACCACTGGGTGTTCAGACACCATGGCTGCTGGGAATGTTGCCTTCCTCTGTGAGCTTGGAGTTGGCGCTGTCCTTGGTGCAGAAAATCCCCTTAGGGACTTGGTCCCCAAGGACAGCCTGGAGTTCACAGCGTCAAGCCCAGGCTGGAACTTTTTGTGTTAGCCACATCTGTTTAGAGCTTTCTTGGGCTGGTAGACCAGCTACTCTTTCCCAATATTGAGAGCATGATATTGACATCGAAGTTGGTTTTTCCTCCTAGGTCTCTTCTTAGACCATTTCACTCAGACAAAGTGAAGGCTTCCCTGATGAAGACCTAAGAGCTGTATTACTAGAATTGGCTGTCAGAAATGCTACCATATATTGTTGATGCAAAACACAATGCACTCTGAGTTTCAAAGCATTCACTTCTGCTTGGGTAATGACTTAATTGAATGTAAGAATCTGGTTTAACACACTTCAGTGATTCACCAACCACCTTTATTAGTTGCTGTCCTAAGTTAGTTTTCCTTAACACAGTAATATTTCACTTTACTGTTTTGACATCCATAAGGCAACATCACTTCACTGCAACACTACCCACGTGCAATTGAGTACCTGATACATGCATCCTGATGTTGTGAACAATGATAGAAAAGATTACATCATCTCTTTAAGACACCATTTCCTTAGACACCTGGTTTCATCTTGATTTTCTTTAAAAGAGTTAAGGGTTCTTTCAAAGGTAGATTCTTTCTCCTTTCACTAGTCATGCTTGCAATTCCCAAACACCCTGCAAATAATGCCAAATAGAAAGAGCTTATGGGACAACTCTATTTGTCCATTCACCATAAGATGAAGTAGATTCTAGCACCTAAAAATCGTTAAATATATATTTAAAAAACTCCTTCATAGTCATGTCAGTTAGTAAACAAAGCATATTCCTAGTCTCCAATCAGTTTACTTGCCAACATCTAAAATGGTGTTAAATAAACTAAGACGGTGAGTCCCCAGTCTGTCAGGCCTGTTTCAGGTGGCACTCTTGTAATCACAGGTATCCAACTGGCTGAGTCGAAGTTTGCTCAGAAATAAACAGTTCCCTGGCCAATTTTCTGCTTTCCTTTCCTGCTGACCCCATCCTGCCTGGTGCACGCCTGACTAGATCACATCATGAAAATGACGTCCTGGGTGACTGGTTTGTTCTTTTGTTTTCTTTGTTCTTGAGAAAACAATTCATGCTTCATTATTTATTTCTTATTTCTGGTTTATTTTTGAGGAAACAGCAAGAAATGGTGGGAAACAGAACTTGGAATTCGAATTGACTCTGAAATCTAACTCTGTCACTCACATAGCTCAGGCCAACCTCTGGCATCTTTATTTTCTCATTAAGACCACACAGCCATAAGGACTACTCCATTGGGTTTTGGTGAAGAAAACAGAAAAAGGTATATGAGACTGCTTTCATACCTTACAGAGAGCTATACAATAGAAGCCAGTATTGTTATTCTAAGTAAAGTTGATAAACTGTAACTTAAAGAAAATGAAAATAAACATTTGATTTCTAGATTGAAGGTGTTCCATTGTGTCCTAAATCAGTCTTTTTGTGACTCAGTCTCTTCTCTTTTGCTAAAACAGGCTAACTGAGATATTACAAAAGGGTTTTAACTAGTTGCGATATTTATTTTCAAAAAGTATCTATGAGGCAGGTAACATAATTATGTAAGTAAGAGGTCTTTAACTTTTAGCCTTTGATTTTTCTAATGAGTGAATATGACCCAGTCTTAAAAAGGAATGTCTTCCGGGGTTTTTCACCATCTTCTTAGTCACAGAAGTTAGTTACGCAATTGACTTTGTAACTGGTTATTTCAACGGCCACAGATTATGAAAAACAAAAAATGAACATACCCTGCAAAGGAAGATAACACACACACATCCCTCTCGAACCGAAAAGACATTTACAGTCGAGTAGCATTCACATATGATATCTGTCTTGTTTCCCTCTGAAGGTAAGAGGGAAGTTAGGTGGTTCTCCTCATTTTTGAAAAAGTTAGAAACACATCTAAACCGCAAGGCAATCCTTAAAACTCACTTTCCTCATCATAAGTTAGTTATCTTAAGGTGACCACACGTGTCAGAAGGACTATGTACTTTGCCCAAAACATCAACTTTCTACACAGTGGAGTCCCAAACTCCATTTCCCATGTACGGCCCAGTGCCATGCCGAGCCGTATGGGAGCCTGAGGCAAAAGGGAAAGTGAGCGCTCCTCTGGACATGCTTTTACGTAGTTTTTTAATGGTTAATATTTTTGCAAAGACAAAGTAGTTGAAAATATACTGAAAAATTGCAAAGTCGTGAATATTAAACTTCACATTATCTGTTTCCTTGCACTATGTATCCACCCACACAGCATGGGTCTGAGGGTCGTGCTAGCGAAGAGGCTGATCTTGTCTTTAAAACTTTGGCATAGTGCTTATCATGCATTTCGTGGCATTAATTTTTATTTTTTAAAATATCGTATAACTTGGATGCTGACGGGTTTTTTTGGTGCGCTGCTTAAACTGAGACCCTGAGGAGAGTGCCTTCTCGCTTCACCTCATCCCGGTCCTGTTGAGCCAGGTGGAAATATGAATGAATGGAAGATGAAAACTGACGACTAAGCCTTGGTCTCAGGGAGACAACAAGGGTGGGTGTGACAAACTGGAAATCCTCGCTCAGCCCCAAAGGAGCCTCCAATATTTAGTATCGAGAACTATGTTACCATGAGAAATGTGAGCCCATAGTATTGTCAAGTCTACTGAATTTCAAAGGAATAAAAAATCTGGCCTTATGATAAATTTTGTTCATTTTTAATGGAAGCAACGGAATCAAGAAGTTTCAAACACTCTGAGGCTAAGGGATGAAAAACATGGCTGCCTGCTGAATCTGATTCCTGGGCAGCCAGTTCAAAACCTTTGTTTCAGATAAAAAATACTTTTCCAGTAGCAATGATCTTATAAACTTTCCTCTCATAGGGTTAGTATGAGCTATAAATATTCTAAGCTTTATTATTTTAGTTGGTGAGCCATTGTTTTTGCCTCCAAACTCAGGGGCTTTCAGCTAGGAAGTAAGCTCTTGGTCTGAAGCAATTCTATGAATGTCTGTGATTCAGTATCAATAGGGTTGGAATCCTGAGGTCACCCGGATTCTTACTGAAAGGAGTTTAAAAAGCATGACGTAGACAAATGTATTTCCTGGTAAATAAACCAGACTAAAGGCCAGTTTACTTAAAAGCCACAAATCTTTTAAATGTTTGTATATCTTGACATTTTTGTTTCTAACCCATTCATCTTTGGAAAATGCAGTGCTGTTCATGCACACCTTCTGGAATCCTTGAGTTTTGTTCCGACCAGATCCATGGATGAGCAAAGGGTGAAAGAAAACGGTGTCTCCCTTCTCCACCACGAGGTGCACTTGGTCGTTGTTTTCATCATCGTCCTCAATGCCATGGAATATTCCATTAACCCCCTCCTAGAACATATAAGAGAAGCCAACTCTGTATTTGAGGGAGTATAATAATTAAAAATTTTATCAATGACTCATCAGGAAAACCAAAGTTTCTTGAAGTTCTTTCAAGACAAAGAGATAAATAAATTGGAGTCTTAAAAAGAATTAAATATACAAAAACTTCTCAGATGTCTGCTTTTAGAAAGTCACCTGTTGATATTAAGATCATGGATATCTTGGACCAAATAAAAAATTTGGAATTTTCACCTACCCTTCATTACTGAATTATAAATGAAGATCTAGACCAGCTTTGCATTTTACCGTTAACTCAGGGGACCACTCTTTTAGCTGAATCTATAATTATTCTTTCCCAACACGATATTCTCCCCACCTGGAACTTGACATAAATCATTCTTGTATTACTGAGGAGTGTCTCTGAGAAGCCAACTATTCTCCCAAACTAGAGGAAATAAAATGTTCGATTTTTCTGAGCTCAAATATCACTCAGGTCATGTCCAGAGTAAAGAAAGAAGAATAGTACATTAAAACATTGTGTTTGGTTATAACTATTTCCAACATTAGTTACTGTTTTAGGTATGGTTATGTTTTTAATAATAAAGAAACTAAAGGGAGAAGTGACTTAAAGTTTACAAGCCTTGATGGAGGGGAGGCTGTTGCTGTTTTGGGAGGGCAGTGTCCCATTCCTCTTCCTAAGACTATCTCAAATTCCTATGAGAAACGGCTCCTTTCCTGCTGCATTCTATTGGGACTTTGAGCCAGTGTGCTTCTCTCCTGTCCAGCATGGATAGGTGACCCAAGCTAAACCAATGTGACCTCCCACTGGAGCCCTTTAGAATCTGAGCAGAGGATCAAAGAGACTAGACATAGTCAGGGTTCAACTGCCCCACCAGGCACCCCTCCCTGACTGTTCCTGCCAACCGATGACTTCCGATTTCCTGCCCACCAGAGCTAGCCAGCCTTTCCTTGGACTTTCCACATCCCCGAAGCCCTCCAAAACACCCCCTTTGGCTTAAGTCGGCCAGAGCCCACTTCTGTTGTTTGCACTGAACCTTTTCTATATCTCAACTTAATTGATGCATCTCACAATTTCAGATTTTATATCAGAACCCAGACTAAAATATTTTCACTCAGCACTAACCATCAGTCAAGAATTCAAACTAAAGGAGACAGAAATTCCTATAGCCATAGTCTTTACATCCTACGGAACCACATTCATTCTTCCTCCCTTAATAATGGGAGCTTTACCATTTTAACCATCATTATGGGGTTTTAAGATCTTATTGTCTTACAACTAAAATGCTAATAGTCTCTCTGGTTTCTCTACCTCTGGACTCCTACACCCCCAATACATCCTGCCCAGACCCCAAGATTTCCGTCTTGAAGGAACGATTTGATCTCATCATTCATGGTCTGAAAAACCTTTGATAGTCCTCTGGCATCAACAGCTGAGTCCAAAAACCATGGAACAGCCATGCAATGAAATCCCACTCAACCTTCCTCAGAGCCTCCACTGGTCCCTCCAGCTGGAAGGAGAGGAGCTCTCCCTCTTCTTTACTCCGAGGGCCATCAGTCAGTGTGTAAAACTTACGTGGCACTTGTCACATGCACCTGGGGTGGCCATATTTAAGTCTTACCTCTGCAATTAGTTCTAATAATCTCAGGTCCTACACAGCACCTACCAAAGTTCCCCACTTTGGTTGGCTTTCAAACACTTGTTGAAAGAACAGAAATGTTGATGATTTTACGTGACATCGTTGAGTTTTCCCTGATCCTAATTGGAACTCCTAGAGCAATATTTTGCTAAGGAAGGAAACGCCATTACATTAGTAAAGCTCTTGATCTATACTGATGTGAAATTGAAACAATATAAGATTCTGATCAAGACCCAGCACCTAGGAAGACCTACCTCCTCCCACTGGGGATAATGGTGTGGCTTCAAGGAGCTTTTGTGTGTGCCTGGGAGTACGGCCAGACAGCCATTGTTCCGGTCGATGTGCTCCATGGCCGTCCAAGCACAAACAATGTTATTGCTGGGCCTGAAGGGGAAATAGTGCAGGTCCTGGTGCAAGGGATGACAGGATGTCTTCTTGCCTGAAACAGAATCTGCTGTTAAAACATGCTCAAGTCTCAGAATTCTTCTCCTCTGCATGAAAACCGGAACAATGACCTATCCCGGCCAAAGCCAAAAATTTGAAACATTTAGAAAATGAGACTCAGAAGATAAGCACTGAATTGGAATATCAGATCAACATGTTGATCCAGATTCTATACTTGTTTCTGGGTTTCTTATTGCCAAGTACTGACACACACTATTTTCTAGCAAGTCGTACATATGTCGGTAGCTCTAGTGTCATGTATTCCTTTATAACTCTGGTTAGGGCAGACAGCCTAGTGTTCAAAAAGACTTTGATGAATTATACTGAAGAAAATGGCCAAATCTGAGGTCCCTTGATAGCTTTCCAAGTGGCTGAGGCACAAAAAATTAACTAACTAAATAAAAGGCCTCTCAGAGGATTTCCCCTGAACTAGAGGCATTTGGTATACAATCCCTGTGTGCAATCAGAGACACCATGATCACTTTTGCTCTCTGAACTTGGGTCCCCAGCCACCCACTCTCTCCAGACAAGGCATCCAGGGAGGGAGGGACTTGGTGATGTTAAGCTGCAGGCCTGTCACAGAGACCTTTCCCAGCATCTGGAGGAAGAAAAGGTAGGAAAAGAGGAAGGATCTCTAATGGCTGATTTCCTGTGGCTGGAGCTGAATTTCTCAGAGTGGCCCAGCAGCCACCCGCATTAAACTCTCGGGGAATGGCTCATTAAATGCACATTCCTGGGTTCTACCTTCCGAATCAGCCTCTCTGGGAGTGAGGTCTTAGAAGCTCCATGTTAGAAAGCACAAAACTTTTAAAAACAACTGTAAGATGTGATTTACAAGAATAGATTTAACTTTGTTAGTCCTAAAATGTCTTCCAATCAGGAAGGCAGAATCCACACTATCATGGGTGAGATCATTAACAAAGCTCAGAGATGGTCGAGAAGAGGAGCCTCTGGCACATGAAGAGAGGTGTTTCTGAAACTGCCTTTTTGAGGAGCCAGTCATCAGAAAATGCAGCAATAACCCCACAGTGGAGATCTGAAATCACTCACTATGACACATCCATGTTGATAGGATGGAAGCTATTTTAGGACATCAATAAAAGCCCACAGATTCATTTAGGCAAAGTTTAGCAGTTACACACACGGCTATGGTTGGAACATCCACCTTATGTACCCTAATTAACAAGTTTTTAATTCTCCTTCACGAGAGCCCTTTACCAGAATCTGGAGGTTTGTTTATCAGCATTGTATGCATGGCCATAATATTGGGTCCAGTGAAGCACTCCACGTATTTCAGAACCTAAGGGAAAAGGGGGGAAAAAAGCTCATGGGAAATCAGATGCACAAGCAAGTCACACAAAGTCCAACTATCTACACAGGAATCCAGACGGCAATATTTAAAGAGCAATCGGTACTTTACAACGTTGCAGACAAAGCCTGAAAAAGTGAGCAATTGGAAATCTACCATACTTTGAATAAACAGGCTTTTTGGAGCCAGTCGGAAACTTAACCACTTTTTCTACAGGAAAGGTACGAGTGCCTATGAGATATCAACTGGGAAGGACAGGAATGCCTTTCTTTCAACCAAAGCTGTGGACGGTTGTCCTGTGAGAAGGCAGCTTCCTCCTCCTTCAGGTGACTCTTCCTAAGAAGGGACCATGAAAGGACCCAACACCTCTGCAGCTGTCATGAGTAGCCCAGAGGAAAGCTGAGCAGTGGCTCAGAGGACACTTCATGATCAGTGCAGCCACTCACTCAACACCTCTTGACTGACATCTGGGAACCAGGCAGAGTGATGGGAAATGGGGACACAACGGTGAGCCGTATAAGCAGGTCCCTCCACCATGGAGCTTATATTCTAGTGGGAAGACGATGTGAAACAAATAGTGATATGGGCAACTGTGGTGAGACATAACCAGACCAGATTCACAAGACAAAGAGAAAAAAGAAAACATGATTGAATTTACCATGAATAGGCTCAGCAGTTTCACCGCTGTGGATACACTGTATGGAGTGTAAGAAAGGTTGTCTCAGTAACACAGAATTCCTGCCCTTCTTAACCAAAGGTAATTAGCACACTCTGCAGCAGGGTTTCTCAACCTGGGCACCACCAGCATTGGGGGCTGGGTAAGTTGTTATTCAGGGAGCGGGCTGTTCTGTGCATTACCGGATCCCTGGGCCCCATTAGCAGCATCCCTGGCCTCTAGCATTAGAAGCCACTAGCACACCATCCCTCCTGTGGGACAACCAAACATGTCCTCAGGCATCGCCTAATGTCCACCTCCGATTGAGAACCACTACTCCAGGGCCACAGTTGAAAGGTGTGAGATAAAGGAAAAACAGCCAATTTCAGAGTCAGGATGCAGATGGGCTATAGACTCAGAAAGAAAGAAAACGCAGGAAAGTCTTGAACCTCAGGGAGAGTGCAGTATCTGAAGAGCTCCTCATCTTCTTGGAAATCTTGGACCTTCGTAATCATCTTTTCACTTGGAACATATTCTGATTTTGCAATGGTCACATCTCTCATTACCACTAATCTCATTGGTTCCACCTCCTTTCTGCAGATTCTTTCAAACTCATTCCTAGAAAATTAAATGGGCAATGATGTCAATACCGCTGACTCCAAGCACCTGCCTGGCCTTGTTCTGTGGAAAGACGGGAAGATTTGCGGGTGGTTTCTCTGCCCTCAGTTGGCCTCCAGCCCCAGGTAGAAGAGCTGTGATGAGAAGGAGGAGAAAATGGCCAACTCAGAAGTCCCGGTCTCCCAACTGTGAGGCTGCAGTCCCCCACCAGAATTCAGATATTCCTTAGCTTAGCAGACCAGTGGGGAATACTCATGATTTGCTTACTTCTGAAAATCGTAGGCAACACTTCCACAGCACTCACACGTGCCAGGCCCTGTTCAAGCATTCTCTCTCTATTTTACCTTATTTAGTCCTCATGACAACTCTAGGACAGAAGTGCTACATTATCCCATTTTACAGATGAGCAAACAGAGGCAGGCACAGGCTCAGGAAACTGCCCAGGACACACAACGTTCAGTGGTGGGCTCAGATTAAAGCCACTCAGTCTGGCTCCAGCCTATGTTCCTAACCACTTCCTAATGACCCAAATCACTGGAAAATATCTGAACCTGCACAGGCTAATCTTTCTCTCATTCCCATTTCATACGTAAAGCACATATTTCTGTAAAATAGCAAATAGCGTTACTGTACCTAAAGCATTCAATATCAGCATCAGAGACCAGCTTTTTAATTACAAGAAAGCCATTGTCTTCATAAAATTGTCTCTGTTCCAGGGTTAGAACACTGTTATCCCGAGTATACCTAGAGGAGAAAAGATATTCTCAAATGAGTCCAATCAAGAAATCACAACCTAACAATATGAATCATAAAACTGAGAAACCCTCAGACTCCTACACCCAGCATTTCTATTTCTAAGGCTTTACCCTCAGGACATATTCTGTGAAAAATTTAAAAGCTTCAAGTCCAAAGTATTAATTATTGTCACCAAAAAAACTTGCATTAATGGAAGAATAATTAACTAATTCTATTATATACACTCAATGGGATATGAGTCAGGAATTAAAAATGATGATAATGTTTCAGCATGAACAACGCTTATTATAGTAAAATATGATTACAATTACGTGAAACCAAGACATTATTTGTAAAAAAAAAAAAAAAAAAAAAAAAAACACCAAGACTGCAAAGAAATACAACAAAAAATATTTTTTAACAGAGATCACCCTAATGTAATGAAATTATAGCAGATTTTAAAAAATTCTTTCTATTTCTCTGATTTTTTAATTTTTTCTGTAAGGAATACATATGATTTTTCAGGTGGGAAAAAATTCAATATTCTTACTTGTCTAGTTCATGCATTCTCAGAAAAACCAAAGTAACAAAATCCAAATAAGAGTATAGCGTACACACAACCTCAAATCTTTCAGCCCATTCTTCGGGATTGGAATTGTGACTCATGAGAACATACCATGGGGATCATGGTCTTTCCTTTAAAGACAATTTGAGATAAACCAAGATGCTACCTAATGTATCAATATGACCAAACTACAGGTTAATTGTAATGAGATATACCACACACGAATTTAAAAAAAATCACATTATGCACTTTTTGACATTTGTCCTCCATTCTGAATTTTAAAATATATATAGAAAATTAAAGTCAGGGTCTTCAAAATTTTCCACGACTGTTCTAATTAGAAAAAGTCCTGGAAATGGAGAAATGTATAATGAATTCTCATCAGGCAACATGATACGTTGTATTTTATATCCTAGTTACCACTAGAAAAACCTTTAGATACATTGTATGGTTCAAAACTAAAATTCAATCTACTTACTGGAATTGTTGAGGATGGAAACCGGCAGGAGGAACAGCCCCTGAAGTGGGGTGAGCTATCTAGGAGGTGAATTAAGGCAGATAAAGTAAAATTGAGGAGTCAATCTTTCCTAGAAGCAGCAGTCTGCCCTGGATTGGCTCTCACAAGGGAAGGCAGGTCCTAAACAGACATCAAGCAAACTGCTGACACACATAACCTCTGACACTGACGCACTGCTGCTGACAGCACTCCATTTCATTCTCACAGTAGCCTGAGGAGGTAGCTGGGGGCCAAGAGCTTTATTATCGTTCCTGCTGAACAGAGCACGAAGCCTAGGCCTGGTGGCTCAGGAACTGGTCCAAGGTCACCCAGCAGAAAATGGCTGAGCCATGACTTGACCCACACGCTTTTCTTCATAGCTTCCATCTATTCTCTTTCATTTGACTACTCCTTCCACTAAACTGCTGAACAAATCATTGGAGGGCTATTCTAGAAGTAAGAAGATACATGTGCTATTCACAAGAGGTACTTAATTTAGTGGGAGTCCCGTCAGCATATTGGAAACAGTTCGGCCGGTCAAGAAAAAAAGTCTATAAAATAAACAGTGACTCCAAGAAAAGTATAATCCACACAGTTGAGTATGTTACAGAACTAGAAACTGTAATTTTCTTTTCGATCCAGTAGTCACAGATTATTGGTTTAGCATCTCGTTGTTTCTTTTTTTTTCTCATTTTTTTCATTGTTTCTTTAGCTTGAAGAATTACCTTCAGAAGGTCCCTTCTCATCAATACATTATTTTGTAAACGATGTCTTTATATAATGGGGACAATATAATAGTCAAGGAGGGAGACAGGCCAGGAGGCAGAATTACTAGCTACTGTCTGTTTTCCCCACAGCAGAGAGGTTAACGACTTTCTTCACCTATTCTCAGCACAACGTGGTCACCAGGACATTCTGGACGTTGGGCTTTTGGTTCAAAGTGCCTTTGTCCTTTCTACCACTACAGCATGATGTTTTTCATTATTGATGTTCTTGCTCTTGGAGAATACTTTTAATGCTGTGGGAATGTTTACTATATAAAGTTAATAAATCTTTACAGTGTTTACTACGTAAAGTAGTAAATGTTTACTACATAATGCTAGTAAACATGAAAAAATGGATGCAAAAGTGTACATACAGTATTCTTCTAATTATCTAATTATGTAAATGCATAGAAAAGTGACACACCAAAAAGTTTACCAATAATGACTGTGAGTGGTGGAATACGGGTCACATTGGTTTTCTCCTTTATGCTTCCCTGCATTTAAAAACTGCATTACGTTTTGTAGTTCAAAAATTATTCTTTATTCCAGAATCCATGTTTCTTCAAAACAGTTAGGGATGGGGAGAAACTGTCACAAAATTTCTAGTAGTCTATTTAAGATTAAACCACACACATTCACTGAAAATCTAGGCAGAACTGTCCCATACCAGAGCCACTAGCCACGTGCATTTAGATTGAAATGTGTTTAATGAAAGCTTCAGTCCCTCAGCGGCACTCGTCACATTTCAGGGGCTCCATAGGCACGTGTGGCTAGTAGCTACGGTATGGGACAGTGCTGGGACAGATTTCCACCATCGCTGAACGTTGTACTGGATGGTGCTGTTCTAGGAAACACACATGTAAAAAAATCTAAGCTCTGACCTCACAAATATTATAACAAGAACCAGCAGGATCAGATATGAAATTTAAAAGCGCTAACAGCCTAGACCGGGAAACCTTAATTTCTAGTTCCAGTTATATCTCACCAGTATACTGCTGGTTCCACAACTGAGCAGGTATCAGAAACCAAAAGTGAAAACAGATTGCTGGCCTCTCCCCCAGGTAAGTTGATTCCACAGGTCTGAGATGAGCCTGAGAATCTGCATTTCTAACAAGTTCCCAGGTGATCTTCATGGTGCTGGTCGAGGGACCACAGTCTGAAACCACCGATTTCGTTAAATGACCTTGGCCCAGAGTTGTGAACTCCCCTAGCCTCAGCTTCTGAGTCCTCACCTGGAAATGAGGTTCCGTGATCACCTGGGTTCCCTTTAACGGTCTACGGACGGATTTAAACTTACAAGGGTTCTGATACATCGCTGCTTGGAATCAGCCGGGAGAGCACTGGTGACAGTAAAACGAACAGATGTATCATCATTTTAGGAGACATTTCAGGATCCTAAATAAAGCAGAACAGAAGTCGCTTATGGAAAAATCTCAGCCAAAGTTTCCTACGGAGCTTCCCAAGTCTGTCCCGAACGAGACACTTCTCCTGAGCAGGCAAAAACAGTTCTACAAGGCAGTTTGGTTTCCGTGCCATTCAGTGACATCTCCCCGCATGCGTCCCGGGCACACGCATCCCCCCGGGATTCACTTCTGCAGAGCAACTCTGCAGGAGGACACAGGGCTCCAAGTCCGTCTCCAGGACACGCTGGAACGCGCCTGTGGTCCGCAGGCGCCCAGGACCGCCGCACCCGGAGCTCCCTGGAGGAGGAAGACTGGAGGGCGGGCGGAGAGCGGCTCCCCCTGCACAGCCGGCCCGGGTGTCCCCCGCGAGGGCCCTGCGGCCGCCCGCCCGCCAGCCTGGGCTCCCGGGGGCCGCTCTGCGCTGCGGCGTCCCTGCGCTGGGCTTCCACATTTCTACACGTATCTAGGTCTGCTGGCTGCTGCAGAGGTCACGCGCCGACAAATGCAGAAAATGACAAGCAGCTGAGGACGGACGCCCCTGGGAAGGACTCCCCACCCTCCTCTCATAAAGCAAGGGACAGAGGCCCGAGAGGGACGGACGCTGGAGGGACGCCGCTTCAGCCACCGCAGCCAGGTCCCCCTGGGGCCTTCGGGACCACGAACTGGCGTGGCGGCTGCGCGATGCGCCCTGGGGCCACCTCCCCGGCCCGGTCACCAAAAAGCCTGCCAGGCGCGGACACCGAGACGGGGCCCCTTCCAGCCCGAGCCCCGCGCAGCCCAAAGGATACGACGGCCCCGGCCGAGCGGCGGCCCAGCTGGCCCAGCAGGACGCGCAGGCGGGCGGCAGCGCGGGGCTGGTCCATGACCGCGGCGAGGAGCTGTGAGGGCAGGGCCTTGGTCCCGCTTAAATCGGCCGGCCTCTCTGTCTCCAGGCGGCGGGAGGACCCAGTAGCTGCCGCGCCCGCCCAGGGCTCGGGGCTCTGGGGAGTGCCGCCCCGCCCGGACCACGGGCTTCGGCGGGGAAATGTGACCTTGTTGGGAAAAAAAGAGTCTTGGTACATATGACACAGTTAAGGATCTCAAGCTTGTCTTCGTTTTTCTTCTTTCTTTTTCTTTTTTTTCGTGAGGAAGACTGGCCTTGAGCTAACATCTGTTGCCAATCTTCCTTTTTTTTGCTTTAGTAAGATTGTCCCTGACCTAACATCTGTGCCAGTCTTCCTCTAGTTTGTATGTGGGATGCCACCACAACATGGCTTGATGAGTGTTGTGTTGGTCCCTGCCCAGGATCTGCACCCAGCCTGGATGTTCTGAGTGAGCTTCAAGCAATGAAAAATCTTTTCAGGTGACTTTGACATATCACTAGCCCCACTCCCATCCTGTTGAGAAGAGCTGATCTCTGGTATTTGGTGAAGGGTTAAGAGGAAGGAAATCAGAAAAAAAATCACACACACACAAACATGCACTCCACTCATTTCCATTCCTTTAGATTTGAATTACAATTTCAGAATCTGTTCCATAAAGATCATGGTTTTCTCTTATGAAAATAATTGACAGGATAATGATATTTCTAGGGGCACGAATATGATGAAGTTGTGTGCTGTAGGTATAAGACAAACTTTCTGTAAATCATTTCCAGGCAAAGAGATGCAGGCTTATTTCCTACAGTTCCATTTCCAACGTCAGCCATGATTACAAGAAGTCTGAAGAACTGAGACAGTGTGTGATGAAAGAGATTTTAATCTTTCAGCAGGAACTAGACTAAAAGGTATCTATGGATGAATCTGGAAGGAGATGGAACGATGAAGTGGTTACTACTGGAATTGTTTGGATGGAGAAATGTCAAGAGGTCTGGGGTAAATTATCTAGAGTGAAGATCAACCAACCGACAAATGTTTAGATACTTCTTGAGTACCTGTTTCATGGGGGGCTGACTCAAATGTCCAGGGAAAACGAGAAAGGGGTGCAAGCAACCATTCGTGTTAGCAAAGAGTTCACAGTCTAGTTGGAGAGAAGGACGGTAAGTACCTGGCAAGGGCTTAACACTCTGCAGGAGGAATTTCTCCACAGGAAGTGAGTGTGGCCAGAGGAGAGGGAGAGAGGTGGAGCCAGAGACACTGCTGGGGGAAGAGGAGTTTCTTTGGGAACGCTAAATTTCCCAAGAGTAAAGAAAGAACGGGACCTATCAGTCCCCCTGGAAATTCTGCTCTTCTCAAACTGGGCATGTAGAAGTGGAAAACTCTGCTCTGGAGTAAAAACTCTGAGATAAGCTTTGCTAACTGCAGCTGTGCATATTCAGCATAATCAACTATTGTTTAATATGACCGGGTCTTTCTGTCCCTCCCGAGTACATGATTGATCTGTCTTTCCCAGGAAGTCAAGGTCCCGGACATCAAGATTCAGCCTCACAAGGTCAAACGGAAGCTGAAGATGAAAACTAACGAGAAAAGTCCAGACAGTCTTAAATTGTTCTGACTTCAGATGTATGAGCCAGTGCTTTTCAGTGTCAGTTTAGCCTTGCCTTTGAAAGGCTTATACCTGAATTCGAAGTTTTACACTATTATCCTGTAAAAGGAGAGCAGATCAGCTGGACTATCCTCTTTATTTTCAGAATAAAACAAGCATAGATATCAACGCCTCAGATACTTAACTGTCATATGTATGCATGTGCATGTGTGTGTATGAGTATATATGAATATATATATATGTATCTCCTTGAGCCTCACCTCAATCCCACACCCATTTCAATCTTCTGTTCTAGATTGGGTAGCAGTTTTATAGACAACACAATTTACTTTCAGCAGTAATTTGTACCTTTTATCATTAAGAATCCATGTATGAACCATGCAGTGAATAAACATGCCAGAGTCTACAAGGAAAACCAACAGGTTCAAAGTCCTATTCTCAAAAGTAGAGCATGGGGATATCGTTTTGCCTCTGGTTATGTGCTGTATCTTGAATAGGAAAGGGAGTGGGTGAACTGGTCAGACAGCATCATGTAAGACAGTTGGTGACACAGTGCTCATAGGGTCCAGGTACGATCAAGAGCTGCTGGAATCCAAGCTTGCTGTCAATGCCAAGGGCTTTGTTTAGTCAGGGAACACTGGGGAAACAGGTCTTGGACCTGTCCTCTGTATAGTTTCCTCTATTTCACAGTCTTAAATATTTGATCCCAACCCTGAATACACAGCTGATGTTTTCAGGGGGTTTTGAACGTTCTTCCTTGTCCTGCTGCCCTTGGAGGGAGTGTTACGCTCGGAATGATGGCATAGGATGAAGCCCAGCAAAACTTCATGAAAGGAAATAGAAAATTCACTCTATCAGTGATCTGATTGCAGAAAAGCCAATGTATTTTCTACTCAACATATTTTAAGAACATAATCTGCTCTTCTGTGGTGCAAGAATAACCCAGCAGATTGCAACAATATTTTAGAGAAACATCTAATCCTCAAATACTTGAATTGAGAAACATCACCATTACTGTCGCTTCCCTGTCACAAGTGTCCTTAAGGGTCACAAATTTGAGGTGGCAGCACTACACAGCATCCATTTGGATGCGTAGACCCCTGAATTTTGTCCAGGAGATATTAAATGAAAAGAAACATATGCACACAGAAGCTTAAGGAGACCTATGAAATGTTATGTTGACAATTATCAATGATCAAGTCCTATATTTGGCTTAGTTCTTAGAGCAGAGTTGGTTAAATTTTGTGTTTAGAGCATAGCCCTGACTTGGTCCATTTTTGAAAATTATAGTATTTGAACCGTCTCTGGGTGAAGGAGAGTTGTCCAACTCACATTAACTGTGACATGTTGAAGGTAACCTTTTATTTTGTTGAGCCATGAAGATTTCAGGGTTTCCTCGTTACACTACTACCACTTAACCTACTCTAGTACAGAAATCAACAGGCAATCACAGAAACGCAGATGCCACTCTATATATAAAAATATGTTCAACCTCACCAACAATATGGAGTCTTTTTTCTCTAACCTACCTAAATGGCAAAGGTTTTTAAGATAAGTTTTGGCATCTCTTCTTTATAAAGGCTCATGATTACTATCAAATGGTTGAAAAATATAATAAAGAATGTTAACTTATTTCTAACTGTGGAAAGTAGAATGCTGGCTGCCAGGAACTGGGCAGTGCGAGAAATGTACATGTTGGTCAACGTTACAAACTCTCACTTGCAAGATGAATAATTTCTGGGGATCTAATGTACAGCGTGGTGACTGCAGTTGATAATAATATGCACTTGAAATTTACTGAGAGTAGATCTTAAGTGTTCTCATCATACACACAGAGACATCACGATGTGAGATGATTGTTAATTAACTTAATTGTGGTCACTGTTTCACAATTAGAGGCAGATCAGATCATCCTGTTGGACACTTTAAATTAGAGAATTTTGTTTGGCAATTATACCTCAATAAAGCTAGGGAGAAAAATACAGTAAAATAATCTGTGACTCTACATCCCAGGAATCATGTTTTTAGAGAATGTTTATTGAGGATAAAATGCTTCTGTTGTACTATAAGGTATAGAAAACACCAATTTTGTCAAATTGGTATGTATATATTCGAATTATATATGAATAAAGAAGAACACATGGAATTTTAACAATGGTTTTCTCCTGGAGAGCATGAGCATGAGTGAAGTTTTGTTTTTTTTAAATTCTTTCTATATTTTCAATTTTTCTACAGCATATATGTATTCTATTCCATCACAAAACAACAGACCTTTGAGGTACATATTCATTTATTATATACATCTAAAAATATATGTTAACATGATTAATGCCAAGATGGAATATACATAAAGTGCTATGGAAGTGTTACCAAACACAAACGCAGGTTCGTTTATCCGCCACACAGTAGGGCCAAGACCTGGAACACCAGGCTTGTGGCAAGGAAAG